GAACGGGCCTCTGGGGCGGGGGTTTCCCCGCCCCCCAGGGGGACTTGGCAAGCCTAATTAATAATTTCTAAATTTAGGGATAAACACAAAAGGCACGCTTCGCAAGCAAAGTAGAGCTGCCTTGCCATCCAGGCTGTAGAGAGGAGAGATTGTGCAATCCTAACAGAGTTACAGCCTTCTAAGAAGGGTGTAACTTAGGATAGTACTATAAATGGTTTGAGAAACTAAGGAGGCATTTGGCAGATGGGCTCTTTTTGTAGCAGGAACTCCTCTGCATATCGGGCGACACACCCCTAATGTAGCCAATCCTCCAAGAGCTTACAGAGCTCTTCTTACAGGGGCTACTGTAAGCTCTTGGGGGATTGGCTACATTAGGGGGGGTGTCGCCTAATATGCAAAGGTGTTCCTGCTACAAAAAGAGCCCATAGCTCAATACACAATCGCTATGATAGCACTCCCATTTTCAAAGCTTTTTTTTTTACATTCAGTGCCTAGAAACCATTAAATTTTTTTCAAAGAAAGATTTAAGAATTATCTTGAAATGTAACTTACCCTCACCCTGATGACATTAATTTCTACGATTAGCAGCATTCCATAAAGAATGACTAAGAACCCAGTCAGGCAGAATCGAAGCTGGAGGGGTCCGACATCATTATCATAAAATTTTACAAATTTGATGGTTTTGGTTATAAAAGCTAACGTCCAGTAGACTAACAAAGCTGTATAAAGATAAACAAAGCAGCAGTCCTTCAAAAATAGCAACAGTAGAAAATATACAATCACAACATTTCGGAAAGTACAAGCAGGAGACCTGCAAGGTCTTGTAGGGGAGGGCATATCATTTCCCTTCCTCCATGATTCACTTTTGCCCTTCCCTGAGCGCCCTACCCTTTCCTGCTTTCCTGCTTCCCTTCCCACCCACCGGCCAACCTACCTTTATTTGCCCCATTTTCAGCTTTCCCTCCTTCCCTTCCTGACAGCCTCTCCATGGAAAAACTCGACAGGGTTCTGGCCATTGGACTGAGCTGGGGCCAGTTGCATGGGGCTGGCTGCTTTGCCGGGTCCATTTGTACAGTCCCAGCTGCCAGCCAGGACCAAGTTACACAGTTGGGAATGCATGGGGGAGTCCCACTTGCCCCTGTATCCCCCTCCCACACTTTTTTCTCCTTTTCTCCTCCAGGCAGCCATTACATCCTCGCCTTTCCCTGCTTCCTTTTCTCCTTTCCACCAACCAATGTTTTGTCTGCCCCCTATTTGCATCTATAGTTATTATTCATTTACTTCATTTATACCCCATGTTTCTTCACAATGGGGACCCATTGTTCTCGCCTCCATTTTATTCTCACAACAACCCTGTGAGGTAGAATAGACTGGGAGTATGTGACTGGCCCACCAAGTGGGCTTCCAAGGCACAGTGGGGATTCTGAACCTGCATCTTGAACATGATCTACATGTGCCCCCTTGCCCAGTTGGTCCAGGGGTTTGGGCTGGGTTGCCACCAGTATGCTGATGACACCCACCTCTATCTGTTATTGGACAGGCTGCCTGGACTCTGTCCCAGAGAATTTGGACAGGGCGTTGGAGGCCATGGCTAGGTGGTTACAGCAGAGTCGGTTGAAGCTCAATCCAGTGAAGATGGAGGTCCTGTACCTGAGCTGAGAGGGAGTTGAGTTGTGCTGTCCCAAAAGGTGAGGAGCCTATGGGTGATCCTGGATACCCCACTTTCTCTGGAGGCCCGGGTCACCACAGTTGCCAGGTTTGCCTTTTATCATCTTTGACAGATCAGGCAGCTGGTTCCCTATCTCTCCCCCCAGGACTTGGCTACAGTGACCAATGCTCCCTCCAAGCTGTGGAGTCTTGTGAGCAAACATTCTACTTTGTGAGCTACTGGCATTAAAGTTGTGGGTGAGCGATTTGGCTACTGCATAAATTAGTTTGCTCTGGAGCCGTCCTTCCTGAGCTGAGACAAAAATGTGTGAGCCGGAGGCTAAAAAACTGGGAGCTAGCTCACACTAACTCATCTTAGAGGGAACACTGATCAGTGACCCACGCAATGGTCACTTCCAAGCTTGATTACTGTAACTTGCTCTATGTGGGCTTATCCTTGAAGCGGATCTGGAAACTCCAGCTACTGCAAAATGTGGCGGTGTGCCTGCTGACTGCGATGTCTGCGCGGGAGTGCATTCAGCCAGTGCTATGCCAATTGCACTGGCTACCGGTCGAGTACTGGATCCAAGGTGTTGGTATTGACTTGATTTCAAGGTGTTGGTATTGACTTTTAAATCCCTATGCAGCCTGGGAGCGACATATCTGAGGGAACACCTCTCCCCATATGTGGCCCAGAGAGCCTTACGCTTGGCAGACCACCATTTGCTGGTTGTCCCTGATCCAAAGGACGTCCACTTAGCCTCAACCAGGGCCAGGGCTTTTCCCACTCTGGCCCTGGCCTGGTAAAACATGCTCCCATCTGAGAACAGGACCCTGTGGGACTTATTACAGTTCTTCAGGGCCTACAAAATGGAGCTGTTCAGCAGTAGGCGTGGCTGATTGTACATTAGCTGGGAGAGTTTAAAAGCAGGACAGCTGCAATGTAAAAGCTGTTCTGGCTATCAGATGTTGATCCGTGTTGGAGTTGTGTTCGAGTTGTTGAATAAAGCTGAATCTTTGCTGAATCACTCTCCGACTATTCTGTTAAGTGGCCGACCTAACAAAGAAGATCCCCATATATTTTTGGGTTACGGCCTATCTGCTTCAATCACTTGAGATTATTACACCTTTCCAGTTGTAGTGCTACCTGTCTTAAATTATTGTACCTTTTTGTTTTGATTGTTTTAACGATTTAATTACTAGGGTTGGTTTAATGATTTTGTAAAACTGCTGTTGTGATCCGCCATGAGCCCACTTGTAGGGAGGGCAGAATAGAAGTTGAAATATAAATAAATAAATTAGGTCTAACAGGATTTTCTGAATTTGTGGGAGGAAGTTTTTTTAAAAATCAGAAGTCTGTGTAACTCTAGTTTGGAAACCGGGACAAAGTATGCCTTGGCCTAAACTGAACTCTAAAGGAACAGAAGGAACGCCTGTGAATTCTGCTCCTGTGGGAACAGATGGCATATCCTTTTACTTTCCTTTGTCTTATCTCGTATATTTGAGAGAATGCCTCAGTGAAAGGTGCAGTGGTGAGGTTAGATGTAGCTTAGATATACCAATGCCTTAGCCAAAGGTTTTGTCATTCAACTCAGAAGGACCATAGGTTGGGATGGGCATGAACCAGCTCATGAACTAAAGTTCGTCATGAATTTTGGCTGGTTCATGGTTTGCAAACCAAAGTTTGTGGCAGATCAACCGGCATGAACTTTCCACGAACTGTCAAGCGGGTTGTGACTAGGTACATTTCCAGACAGTCTGTCTCCACTCAATCAAAATGTTTTCCAAATTTCAAAACAACAGGGAGGGTGGAGTTGTCCAGCCATGGAAACACCAATAGGGGCCCTCCAAAGCTTAACAGGGACTGCTGGCTGCCAATAACAGAGTTCCCATTTTGCTCTACAGAATCGGAATGCTATATATACCCTCAGCTCACCTCCATACCCTCTCCTATCTTGAGTGTTAGACAGAGAGGCAGCGGACTTGTTAAAAGCAGAGCACATTCATTTATTACTGATTGTGAACACCTCTCCTCTGGTGGGGTTAGGGTTTTAGGTAGACTCGGGACTCTGAGCCACCCCACCTCTCTGCTCGCCCCAAGCAGAGGGACTTAGCTACTAGATGTCATGACTAAGAACCCATATTTTATACCCTCACTAAAAAATAACACTAATTTTAAGGTGGAGGAGGAGGAGGAGATTTGATTTATACCCCACCCTTCACGCGAAGTCTCAGAGCGGCTTACAAACTCTTTTCCCTTCCCCTCCCCACAACAGACACCCTCTGGGGTAGGTGGGGCTGAGAGAGCTCTTTCAAGAACAGCTCCTTCAAGAACAGCTCTGACAGAACTATGGCTTGCCCAAGGTCATCCAGCAGCTGCAAGTGGAGGAGTGGAGAATCAAACCCGGTTCTCCCGGATTAGAGTCCTCACACTTAACCACTATAGCACACTGGTTCCTTATTTAGCTTTATCCCACCACTGTAAATTAGTTACTCTAGGCAGCTTTATTCTCATTTAACAAAACAGAGTAACTATTTAAAAAATCAATTTATACGAGAAGTATTGATTCTAACATATGCAACCTGATCTGACACATTTACTCGAAAGGAAGTCTTTATGAGCTGAATAGATCTTATTCCCAAGTAATATAGTATTGCAGCTAGAGTCTTTAATGACTGGACTTGAAAAAAAGGTTTCTTTCCTTTCTTTATAGAAGAAGTATATGGGTCAAACAACTGTGGGACTATTTATATATTACATAATCTTCCTGTCAACAGATGAAATTTGTCCCGTGACAGTGCCCATGCAAACTCATAGTCCAAACACAACAGTGAAAGGCAACTGTTGCCAACAGCACCAAGAACATCAGTTTAGTGGAGCTAGAGCTTTAATGCTCATTATAACACTCAACATTTTACAGAAAAAAAGTCAAACAGATATTAAAATAACTATTATGCAGGTTAAAACTTTGCTGTTTTCAAATTGCTAGATATTCCCAAATGCTCCACCCGGTTTAATAATAACAATATTACTAAACATCTTTGGAATTAGATTTGATAATAGGGAATGAAGCACAGCATATAAAATTATAGCAAGAAAACAAAATTTCATATTAGGTACAATGCAACTACTGGAAAAACTCACCTACCATCAGCCTAAGAGGAACATATTCACAGCTTAACAACTTTCTATGTTGCGGTACATACCTATTAATAACTTTGGAAAATTTGATGTTTCAATGTTGTGATAGTAAACAATTGATGTTATGGCTGCTAAGAATGCCATACCAGGTGGCATGTACAGGTGCAAGTGACGGGATTCAGAAACTCTAAGGAAAACAGAACATCTATTAATCACAAATATCCTGGGAAGAGACAACCATGATTGCTCTGATGCTCATGTCATTATATCACATCAAATTCACTTGAATGGAGATACAAATTCATACATACAGGAATGCACGCATGGCTCTCTCTGTTGGAATTAACGAAGAAGGCAATCAGAGTTCCCACACACAGGACTGAGCACTGGATTAAGACCAAAACCTCAAATCCAGTGACCACCTTTGGGTGTACTTTTGGTGCAGTGCTGCTTCTTCTTCTATTTTTCAAATAACATTGAAATTAAGAAGAAGAAGAAGAAGAAGAAGAAGAGATTGGATTTATACCCCGCCCTTCACTTGGAGTCTCAGAGTAGCTTACAAACTCCTTTCCCTTCCCCTCCCCGCAACAGACACCCTGTGAGGTGGGTGGGGCTGAGAGAGCTCTGGCACAAACTGCTCTTTTTCAAGGACAGCTGTGCCAGAGCTTGTGACTGACCCAAGGTCACATCAGCAGGTGCAAGTGGAGGAGTGGGGAATCAAACCCGGTTCTCCCAGATTAGAGTCCGCACACTTAACCACTACACCAAACTGGCTCTTAAAAAAAGAAGCTTATGATGGGGTAACCGAGATGTTTAGAAAAGAAAAGGGGCTATGCATATGGCCCTGCCCAGACGTATCTTGGGTCAAATTAATTTATAGATATGTGCAGGGCATTTTTTGTAGAAAAAGCCCAGCAGGAACTCATTAGCATAATAGGCCACACCAAACAGCAGAAACTCATTAGCATATTAAGCCACACTCTGACATCACATCTCATTAGCATATTAGGCCACACCCCCGCGTTACCACACTCACCTTTTGCTTCTTATTCTGTTTACTTTGTTTGTTGTCAAAACCCTGGGCTTTTTTTGTAGCAGGAACTTCTGTGCATGTTAGACCACACACCCCTAATGTAGCCAATCCTAATGAGTTTCTGCTGCTGGGTGTGGCCTATTATGCTAATGAATT